CATGCTGGTGGGAGAGAGTGATGCTGTGGGAGAGGCATGCTGGTGGGAGGGAGGGATGCTGTGAGAGAGGCATGCTGTGGGAGGGAGGGATGCTGTGAGAGAGGCATGCTGTGGGAGGGATGCTGTGGGAGAGGCATGCTGGTGGGAGAGGCATGCTGGTGGGAGGGAGGGATGCTGTGGGAGAGGCATGCTGGTGGGAGAGGCATGCTGTGGGAGAGGGATGCTGGTGGGAGGGAGGGAAGCTGTGAGAGAGGCATGCTGTGGGAGGGAGGGATGCTGGTGGGAGAGGCATGCAGGTGGGAGGGAGGGATGCTGTGGGAGAGGCATCCTGGTGGGAGAGGCATGCTGGTGGAAGGGAGGGATGCTGTGGGAGAGGCATGCTGGTGGGAGAGGGATGCTGTGGGAGAGGGATGCTGTGGGAGAGGGATGCTGTGGGAGAGGCATGCTGTGGGAGGGAGGGATGCTGTGGGAGAAGGACGCTGGGAGGGGATGGGAGGGATGATAGTCTTGTGCAGGGATATTCCAGCACGTGTCTGAACCAACTGGCTGACGCTGATATATGTTACACATTTCTGTATGACTTAAGCTGTTGGTGAGTACCTGTGACTCCTATGTTAGCTTCGGTAAGCATGTGCCAAAGGTGTTCAATAACGGCTTCTGTCCTGTTAACTCTCAGTTGAGAATATACATTGTTTGTCTCTCTGTTGTGTTCAGACAATGTTCCAGTGGTCTACGGAACTTTCCTCCACAATGGAGACATTTCCTGCACTTGGGTTATCTCGGTTATTTTGAGATAATTTCGGGGCTTAGCGTCCCTGCGGCCCGGTCCTCGATCAGGTCTCCTTTTTGTTACACATCCCTAGGAAGCAGCCCGTAGCAGCTGTCTAACTCCCAGGTACCTATTTACTGCTAGCTAACAGAGGCATCAGGGAGAAAGAAACTATTCCCATTTATTTCCGCCTCCGCCGGGGATTAAACCCGGAACCACATGACTAGGAATTTGAAGCGCTGTCCACTCAGCTGTCAGGCCTCACTAGCATCAGGCTTGGGTAACATAGCCTGACACAGTGTAAGAACACTCCTGATGTTTACTGATCCCTTTCGTCAAAATAAGTGGTTCGCAGATGGTTGAATTCTTATATCGCCGCATAGATCATGATGTTGTTGCCGCTGCATAATGATCATTGTACATCGTCAGCACTGATCTTTCTTCAATTATGTCCATAACTTGTTCTAGGCTCTGTGGTAAGTGTCCACATTACCTCTAGCAGCGTGATCATCAGTGTCATTCCCTCGTGTTCCTACATGACTCGGCGCCCAGTTAATATCAGACGACCTTGACGATTACTTGCATAATGCTATGACATTTGTGGTCAGTTGGAGGTTATCACATAAAATGTATGTGTTGTAACGTTCCAGTGACAGTTCTTGAACCCGTATTCACGATAATGTGTGGTCGGTGTTCAACAAGAGCCCGGTGCAAGCCTTTTGTGTGTCATGCATCTCTGTTTGACACCCGTTTTAGAGTCTCTCATAAACTATAGTATTACTTAACAGCACCTACGTAGTCTTGTTTCTGTTGGTCTACGTATCCGACTGTGAAATATGTGAAGCGGTCAGACACCGTTATTACTTATAATTTGACTGTGCAATGTTGGAAAGATGAGCGATAGTCTGGTTATGTCTCCTTCAAGAGCCATACTCTCAGAGCCTGGTGGAGGGAGTCTGTAGGAGCCTGCATGACGAGGTCAGCCTCCAGACTCTCTCAGTCACTGTTGTTGTCATCTACAGTGTTTGGTTAATGTTGACTGCACAGTGGAGTCCACTTGATGCTACTGGTGCCCGAGTTATTTGGTCCTCAGTACCATCTTTACTGATACCCTCCCTGCTCCCCATCACCCCCCCTGCTCCCCATCACCCCCACTGCTGCCCATCACCCCCACTGCTGCCCATCACCCCCCCCCTGCTGCCCATCACCCCCACTGCTGCCCATCACCCCCACTGCTGCCCATCACCCTCACTGCTGCCCATCACCCCCACACCTGCCCATCACCCCCACACCTGCCCATCACCCCCACACCTGCCCATCACCCCCACAGCTGCCCATCACCCCCACACCTGCCCATCACCCCCACTGCTGCCCATCACCCCCACTGCTGCCCATCACCCCCACACCTGCCCATCACCCCCACACCTGTCCATCACCCCCACACTTGCCCATCACCCCCACAGCTGCCCATCAACCTCACATCTGCCCATCACCCACACACCTGCCCATCACCCCCACTGCTGCCCATCACCCCCACACCTGCCCATCACCCCCACACCTGCCCATCACCCCCACACCTGCCCATCACCCTCACACCTGCCCATCACCCCCACACCTGCCCATCACCCCCACACCTGTCCATCACCCCCACACCGGCCCATCACCCCCACACCTGTCCATCACCCCCACACCTGCCCATCACCCCCACACCTGCCCATCACCCCCACACCTGCCCATCACCCCCACACCTGCCCATCACCCCCACACCTGCCCATCACCCCCACACCTGCCCATCACCCCCACACCTGCCCATCACCCCCACACCTGCCCATGGTGTTACAAGAGGACATGATAATCCTGGATGAGAGGCAGGTAAATATTGAGGTAAATAAAAATACATTGTACTCCACTCCTGTACAAACTCCTCTGTACAGGAGTTAAGTTATATATGACGAGGTTTGCAAACGATTTAAAATATCTGAAAAAAGATGAGAACAGAAGAGGATTGCAACAAACTGCAGAGTTACTCAGATTAATGGCTTCTGGAGTTCAACACGAGCATGTGTAAGGTGATGGAATTAGGAGCAGGTGACAGGGGGACCAAAGGGACAGTACACAAGGGAAACTACCGACCTGTAACGACCGGAGAAACGTAGCTGAGAGTGGACGTAACACCTAACCTAACTCCGGAGACGCATGTAGACAGGATAACATCAGCAGGATACACTACACTAGCAGACGTTAGAGCACCATGCGGGGACCTGAACATGGAGGCATTTAGATTTCTGAACTCCTCAAGCTAAATGCCCAATTAAGGAGAGAAATACATAGTAGAGATGATTGAGGAAATTGGTCTGGTGTCAGTACATTAGATACCCAATGGCTAGAAACACAGAGACTCAGAGCTAACAGTTCATTCAAGTAGGAACAGTGGAATAAACACATATACATACACGCACACTCTCCCAGCAACCACACCTCTCCACACAGACAACAATCAGACCACACAGCCTCCCCACACATACACACACCCAGCAACCAGCCCACACCCTCCCACACACACACTCCCACACAAGACACACACACCCGCCCACACAAGACACACACACCCGCCCACACAAGACACACACACACCCTCCCACACAAGACACACACACCCGCCCACACAAGACACACACACACCCTCCCACACAAGACACACACACCCTCCCACACAAGACACACACCCTCACACAATACTCTGGCCTGAGAATAACGAGAACAAGGCAACACAGGTGTTAACTAAGCACTCTACTAAGCCTTAGTAACAGAGACAGTAGAAAGGTTGTGTTCAGTATCATGGAAAAAGAACATAGGATAAGAAGTGGAAGCTGACAAGGTATGTAAACACGCACCCCCCCACACACACGTACCCCCCCACACGTGAGCACCCCCCCACACACGTAAGCACCCCCCCCACACACGTGAGCACCCCCCCCACACACGTGAGCACCCCCCACATACACGTGAGCTCCCCCCCCACACACGTGAGCACCCCTCCCCCACACACATACGTGAGCACCCCCCACACACATGAGCACCCCCCCACACACCTAAGCACCCCCCCCACACACCTGAGCACCGCTACACACATATATTTGGGGTTGATATATATATATATATATATATATATATATATATATATATATAGGGGGTTGATATCACGCCAGACCTGTCCCCTGAAGCTGATATCAAGAGGATAACATCAGCGGCATATGCCAGGCTGGCTAACATAAGAACGGCCTTTAGAAACTTGTGTAAGGAAACTTTCAGAACATTATATACCACATATGTCAGACCAATCCTGAAGTATGCAGCCCCAGCATGGAGTCCATATGTAGTCAAGGATAAGACTAAACTGGAAAAGGTTCAAAGGATTGCCACCAGACTAGTACCCGAGCTGAGAGGTATGAGCTACGAGGAGAGACTACGGGAATTAAACCTCACTTCGCTGGAAGACAGAAGAGTTTGGTGGGACATGATCACCACATTCAAGATTCTGAAGGGAATTGATAGGGTAGATAAAGACAGGCTATTTAACACAAGGGGCACACGCACAAGGGGACACAGGTGGAAACTGAGTGCCCAAATGAGCCACAGAGACATTAGAAAGAACTTTTTTAGTGTCAGAGTGGTTGACAAATGGAATGCATTAGGAGGTGATGTGGTGGAGGTTGACTCCATACACAGTTTCAAATGTAGATATGATAGAGCCCAATAGGCTCAGGAATCTGTACACCTGTTGATTGACGGTTGAGAGGCGGGACCAAAGAGCCAAAGCTCAACCCCTGCAAACACAACTAGGTCACACGTGAGCACCACCACACACATGTGCACCACCACACACATGAGCACCTCCTCCCCCCACACAAAATACACAATAACAACAACAACAGCTGGCCTAACCACGCCAGGCCGCACCTGGCGTCGCCGCCTCGCACGTGGGTTACCATGACAACAGCGTCTCGGGCGCCACTGTCAGCCGTACGATAATACCAACATATTCACATAATGAGCCACATAGCGCACACTACTCATCATATCCCACGGGATATACATTATACTAACATTTTTAGTGACGTGAACATTAATTAAATCTAGAAATAATGATTTTGGTGATGGGAACGTTTGTGTGTAGTGGAGGTGGGGAGGCGGGGTGGTCTGGCAGTGGCAGTTGTCAGTGGGACGGCTGAGGTGGCGGGCGTGTCCTGCACGCTCTCTCCCTCTGCCCACACCATCTCCTATATCACCTCTCTCTCTATATATATATATTTATATATCAGCAGAGCACAATGGTGCTCAATGTGAAGTGTTTGTGAAACTTGATCCCTGTTGTAAAGAGTCACTTATATTAGACAAGAATTATGAAGCACAAATTATCGTTTAGAGAATAAATAGTTCAACAAGTGTGTGTTGTGTGGTGCTAACTTGATGAGGTGTAGGTGCTGGTGGATGATCATGGATGACGTGAACACGTCCACAACCCTCCTGGCCCTTCTGGCCCTGCTGGCCTCCTGTACTGGTAGGTTAACAGTCATCCATGTCCTGCCTCTCTCTCAACAGTACTTCTGTAGTAATGTTAATGTTACCTTAATGACAGCACTACACGAGATGAGGTAATTGATCACAATCTGAGTGTGTCAACTTCGTCTTGTTTACACTCTCACTACTCAAGATGGACTCTTACCGTACCACAAAGTCCCTCTGGAGACTGACGTGGTCGGTGCAGGCAGCCATTTCTTAATGTGACATGTTAAGAACCTGTTCTGATGAGAGTATGGATGATGGAAAATATTCCAAACACAAATATGTTTATATATATATATATATATATATATATATATATATATATATATATATATATATATATATATATATATAATTATGCGGAAAATCCACAGAGAAATATGAAATGAGGTGAACGTTTCGGCTTTTTTTCATATTTTTTTTTCATTTTTTTTTCATATTTCTCATTTCATATTTCTCTGTGGATTTTCCGCATAAAATGATCAGTGTTTTGTGATCGTCAATTGCATATATACAATTGCATATATATAATTATATATATATATATATATATATATATATATATATATATATATATATATATATATATATATATATATATATATATATATATATATATATATATATAAATGTGTGTGTGTGTGTGTGTAAATCACGAAAATTAACACCTGGTGAAAAATATGACAGTATCAGACCACGAAGGAAAAATTGAAACAGGAATTTCCTTAAGTACTTTCGTATTTAACAATACATCTTTATCTTCAGAAGGGTGTATTCCCTTCTGAAGATGTATTGTTTAATACTAAAATACTTAAGGAAATTCCTGTTCCAATTCTTCCTTCGTGGTCTGACACTGTCAATCTTCTGGCCAAAAAAGGTGAAAGAAAACCCTAATAAAAACTGTCAAGTATTTAAGTATATTATTAAGTAAATCATGTATATTAAGTACTGACATAAATCCTCCCCCGCGAGAGCAGCCTGACCATTAAATGCGCCCTCAGCAGACTGTATACATTTACTGAACACAAAATCTACCACTTACGGGCTATTCATGCCCGTGCCGCCTCTTGGGTGGCTTAATCTTCATCGGTCAATCATCAGATGCAGTGGGCGTCACCGTAGTGTAGTGACGTCATTGTTGGCATCTTCAAGTTCCGGTCGTGCTGTCACCTTAGTGGTGGGTAGAGGGAATAGTTCTGTTGTTTGAGTATGGCGGGTTGTTCCACTTTTATGTGAAGGCCTTCAAGAATTTGTAATCATCTTACATCTTGGGCTTTGTCTAATTTACGAGTGCTTGGATTCAGCAGTTCTCTTGTTAGAGTGATGTCATGGGCTTGTCTCATCAGATTCCTGGGGGCACCGGATTGAAGATGACCTTACCTTGAGGTTACCTTACCTTGAGGTGCTTCCGGGGCTGAGCGTCCCCGCGGCCCGGTCGTCGACCAGGCCTCCTGGTTGCTGGACTGGTCTACCAGGCTGTTGGACGCGGCTGCTCGCAGCCTGACGTATGAGTCACAGCCTGGTTGATCAGGTATCCCTTGGAGGTGCCTATCCAGTTCTTTCTTGAACACTGTGAGGGGTCGGCCAGTTATGCCCCTTATGTGTAGTGGAAGCGTGTTGAACAGTCTCGGGCCTCTGATGTTGATAGTTCTCTCTCAGAGTACCTGTTGCACCTCTGCTTTTCAACGGGGATATTCTGCACATCCTGCCATGCCTTCTGGTCTAATGTGATGTTATTTCTGTGTGCAGGTTTGGGACCAGCCCCTCAATTATTTTCCACGTGTAAATTATTATGTATCTCTCACGCCTGCGCTCAAGGGAGTACAGATTTAGGCTCTTTAGTCGGTCCCAGTAATTTAGATGTTTTACTGAGTGGATTCTAGCAGTAAAGGATCTCTGCACGCTCTCCAGGTCAGCAATTTCTCCAGCTTTGAAAGGGGCTGTCATTGTGCAGCAGTACTCCACTCTAGATCAGGTCAGGTCATGACAGGTCAAACGCCTCGTCAGCTTGGTCGACGTCATACCTATGTACTTCGATTGAAGGTTACATCCTTCGTGGGGGCAGGTGTACATGTATACCTTCGTGGGGGCAGGTGTACATGTATACCTTCGTGGGGGCAGGTGTACATGTATACCTTCCTGGGGGCAGGTGTACATGTATACCTTCGTGGGGGCAGGTGTACATGTATACCTTCGTGGGGGCAGGTGTACATGTATACCTTCGTGGGGGCAGGTGTACATGTATTCAACGCTTGACTGCTGTAGAGGGTTCTCCGTCGACTTCGTACTGTTTTTAATAAGGAGGTCGGTAGTCTTCTTGGTTTTATAGTATATGTTGATGTCAATATTTTAATTGTCTTTATTTGGTTATTGGTTGTGAGTTTTACTCCTTTAAGGATTATTTCTTTCATTGTTCTTGGAAAGAATATACGGTACATATAATAACTGGTACGGTGTCTAGGCGGATCACTTATAGTCCCATCGTCCAAACTCCAGATGTTTAACTCGCTGGACAAACTTTCGGTGATTACCTTTAAGACGAAGCAGAGAAGAACAGGGGGTAAAGGATCACCTTGCTGAACACCCTCACGTGATCTGATTATTTGTTCTCCGAATTATTTGTTCTCTTCACCACTGAAGCACGATAGTATGAACTGATAGAGGGGCCGGAAATGTCCGGCACAGAGCACCGCATCTCTTCTGACCATGTTAAAGGCATTTTTAAAGTCCAGTTTGAGCAGGGCCTTTTGATCAGAAATGTTGGTGATGTGTGCTCGTGCTGCATGGGCAGCCGCCTCACAGCCTTGGGGGAGCCCAAACCCCAGCTGGATTAATTTCAGCAGTTCAGCCGCTTGCTGGCTGACAACCCTCTTAGCAGGCTTGGCAACCTGGCGTTGCCAAGGCTGCCACGACGGTGTGTGTATATATATATATATATATATATATATATATATATATATATATATATATATATATATATATATATATATATATATATATATATATATATATATATATATATATATATATATATATATATATATATATATATATATATATATATATATATATATATATATATATAATGTCGTACCTAGTAGCCAGAACGCACTTCTCAGCCTACTATGCAAGGTCCGATTTGCATAATAAGCCAAGTTTTCATGTATTAATGTTTTTTCGACTATCTAACCTACCTAACCTAACCTATAATGATAGGTTAGGTTAGGTTAGGTAGGGTTGGTTAAGTTCGGTCATATATCTACGTTAATTTTAACTCAAATACCAAAAAATTGACGTCATACATAATGAAATGGGTAGCTTTATCATGTTATAAGAATAAAATTAGAGAAAATATATTAATTCAGGAAAACTTGGCATATTAGGCAAATCGGGCCTTGCATAGTAGGCTGAGAAGTGCGTTCTGGCTACTAGGTACGACATATATATATATATATATATATATATATATATATATATATATATATATATATATATATACATAATGGTAAAATACTAATATTAATTCAAAGCAAATTGAAATAAATATATGAAATTAACGAAAATCATTCTGCCTGTTAGGCAAATGGGGCCTTGCATACCTGGCCAAGTAGTGCGTTCTGGCTATTAGGCACGACATATATATGCCTATGTGTTTGTGTGTGTTTGTCCGGGGCCGAATTAATTTCGGAGAGTTGCAGGCGGGTTGAGAGTTGAACATATTGTGTATGTTACCTCCGGCGTGTGGGGTGCTGAACCGGTTTGGCTGAAGTAAGCCACCACCAGGGGTCCTGGTGAGGGCCCTGGTGAGGTGCTTGGTGCCCCCCACTAGTAGTGTGGTGGTGAAGGTCCTGGTGCCCACCACTAGTAGTGTGGTGGTGAAGGTCCTGGTGCCCCCCACTAGTAGTGTGGTGGTGAAGGTCCTGGTGCCCCCCACTAGTAGTGTGGTGGTGAAGGTCCTGGTGCCCCCCACTAGTAGTGTGGTGGTGAAGGGCCTGGTGCCCCCCACTAGTAGTGTGGTGGTGAAGGTCCTGGTGCCCCCCACTAGTAGTGTGGTGGTGAAGGTCCTGGTGCCCCCCACTAGTAGTGTGGTGGTGAAGGGCCTGGTGCCCACCACTAGTAGTGTGGTGGTGAAGGTCCTGGTGCCCCCCACTAGTAGTGTGGTGGTGAAGGTCCTGGTGCCCCCCACTAGTAGTGTGGTGGTGAAGGTCCTGGTGCCCCCCACTAGTAGTGTGGTGGTGAAGGTCCTGGTGCCCCCCACTAGTAGTGTGGTGGTGAAGGTCTTGGTGCCCCCCACTAGTAGTGTGGTGGTGAAGGTCCTGGTGCCCCCCACTAGTAGTGTGGTGGTGAAGGTCCTGGTGCCCCCCACTAGTAGTGTGGTGGTGAAGGTCTTGGTGCCCACCACTAGTAGTGTGGTGGTGAAGGTCCTGGTGCCCCCCACTAGTAGTGTGGTGGTGAAGGTCCTGGTGCCCCCCACTAGTAGTGTGATGGTGAAGGTCCTGATGCCCCCCACTAGTAGTGTGGTGGTGAAGGTCCTGGTGCCCCCCACTAGTAGTGTGGTGGTGAAGGTCCTGGTGCCCACCACTAGTAGTGTGGTGGTGAAGGTCCTGGTGCCCCCCCCACCACTAGTAGTGTGGTGGTGAAGGTCCTGGTGCCCCCCCCCACCACTAGTAGTGTGGTGGTGAAGGTCCTGGTGCCCCCCACTAGTAGTGTGGTGGTGAAGGTCCTGGTGCCCCCCACTAGTAGTGTGGTGGTGAAGGTCCTGGTGCCCCCCACTAGTAGTGTGGTGGTGAAGGTCCTGGTGCCCCCCACTAGTAGTGTGGTGGTGAAGGTCTTGGTGCCCCCCACTAGTAGTGTGGTGGTGAAGGTCCTGGTGTCCCCCACTAGTAGTGTGGTGGTGAAGGTCCTGGTGCCCCCCACTAGTAGTGTGGTGGTGAAGGGCCTGGCGCCCCCCACTAGTAGTGTGGTGGTGAAGGGCCTGGTGCCCACCACTAGTAG